GGGTTACAAAGAACCAATGGATTTCCTCAAGGTCTATTGCACTGATGGATTCTCGTAAACTCATCCCATCAGGCTCTGAACACGATGAAGAGCGACAACAAATCAGATCTAGGTTAACCAAAAGTCTAAGGAACGACCGTGAGCAGTGGTGGGCAACGAAAGCAAAAGAGATGGAAAAGGCGGCGGCTATAGGGAACACAAGACAGCTTTACAGACTAATAAAAGAAACTGGAATTAATAAGTCAAGTGTAAGTGAGACGATCTCATAAAGAGACGACACTCTCATCTGCTCCCAGTCCAGACGTTTAGAACGATGGGCGGAACATTTCAGCTGGCCTTCAGCTACTCTACAACTACCCTCCATTCCCAGACAGTGTGAATGGAACATTGAAGTAGGTCCCCCAACTCTAGCAGAAGTTCAAAAGGCTACAGCTAATCTGAAACGAAGAAGGGCAGCTGGTCCAGATGGATTGACTCCAGAGGTCTTTAAGGATGGTGGTCCAATTTTAGCGATTAGATTGACTAATATTTAAGCTAAGATCTGGGAGTTAGACGTTATCCTATCTGACTTGTCACAATCACTTATCGTCCCAATATATAAGAAAGGGTCAAAATCATCCTGTGACAACCATAGAGGGATTAGTTTAACTAATATAGTATCTAAAATACTAGCCTCGATAATTATCAGACGCCTAACTAAGACTCGTGAACTGCAAACACGAGAGAATCAAGCTGGCTTCAGACGTGGTCGTAGTTGCATCGACCACATATTCACCATTCGTCAGGTTCTAGAACATAGGCATGCTTATCAGCGTCCGACAGTGGTGGTCTTTCTTGACTTGAAAGCAGCATTTGACTCTGTAGACCGCGAGATTCTGTGGCAGTGTCTGTCATTGAAAGGCGTACCTCAGAAGTACATAAACCTTGTGAAGGCTCTTTACTCGAACACTACCAGTCGAGTCAGAGCTTATGGCGAACTGTCATCTGCTTTTGCAACCTCAAGTGGTGTCCGTCAAGGCTGTCCACTTTCTCCATTTTCGTTTAACTTCATCATAGACCTATTGATGGAAATAACATTCTCGTCGACTGAATTCTCGGGTATTGATCTCCTTCCAGGAGGTCCACTTATCGACTTAGAATACGCAGATGACATAGTCCTGTTTGGTGAAGACGCTGATAAAATGCAGAGTGTTTTGGTAGCACTAAGCAACAATGCCAGAATGTTTGGAATGCGCTTCTCTCCCTCTAAATGCAAGTTGTTGCTTCAGGACTGGTCTGCGTCAACACCTGAACTAAGGATAGGGAGTGAAGTAGTCGAACGCGTTGACAACTTCACTTATCTTGGAAGTCTGATCAGCCCTAATGGGTTGGTGTCTGACGAAATCTCAGCACGGATTCGAAAAGCTCGCTTGGCTTTTGCCAACTTACGTCACCTATGGCGAAGGCGAGATATCCGTCTATCAATAAAAGGACGAGTATACTGCGCGGCAGTCCGTTCTGTTTTAATTTACGGCAGCGAAACATGGCCATTAAGAGTAGAAGACACTCGTAAGCTACTAGTATTTGACCACAGATGCCTCAGAAATATTGCTGGCGTCTGCTGGGATCAACGGGTTGGTAATAGTGAGGTTAGACACAGGGTATTAGGGAATGATGGTAAATCAGTTGATGAGGTTATGAATCTTCATCGACTGAGATGGTTGGGCCACGTGTTACGTATGCCCAAACACCGATTAACACGACGTGCAATGCTAACCGGCTAGGGTTTGTATTATTTGAATTTTACCCTTAGGACTTGAGACGCTTGAAATAAAATTAAGATGTAGTTATCGCTTGGGCCTGTAATTCATTTTTGACACGAATTAAATCTTGTTTTCCATGCTGTGAAACCTGAAAGTATTGTGTTTAATCCTATTTAATACCGAGGGCTCTCCCTGCCTGTAAATTCTAAGTTTATATAGAATTGCAGTTTTGTAGTTTATTACTTATCGGTTCTCCAACCTTTTTCTGTTCTTTACGAAAATCACCTTCAAATCACATACAACCTCCATAAAATCACCTATGCAATTAAAATGAGCCTAATAAAAAGGTAATATTTCAAGTATTTTAATGTATTACTCGAATTTCTTATAGTTTCTTATTTATTACTTTACTTAAATAAACAAGTTAAACCATCTGTCATTGAATTAATGTTTTGTTTATTTGTTTTTATATCATTTTTGGATATTTTTCATTTCCAATGATTCTTATGCAGTGTATTAGATGTTTTCAATCAATATGATTACTCAGCTAGCTATCTCACTGACGGTTGTTGTTCAACACGCTTTCTCTGTCCTTATTTATTTGCTATAAGGAACAATGCTTGTATAAATTATCATATGATTTTCAATTTCGGTTATCTTGTCTACTGACTAATGTATCTTTCTTTCTCTTGTTTTTTTCCTTATATTTCTTATAAAAAAACAATTCTATTAGTCAGATTATTCAGTATGATACATTTTATTCATTGTAACTATCTTAAATTATTTAGTATTTATTTCTTTATGGACATGTGGTTTTCAGTTTAATTAATACATGTTGAGTGATTGTGTTAATCCAGAGTTCACATGAAATTCCTAACTATTAGAAATTCAAGAATATTAGTCACTTGATTTTAGACTTCAGTCCCGTCATTGTTAACGATTTAGTGACGTTGTCTGGAATCATTAATGAGTAAAAATTAACCGAGATTTGCAAAATTAGTACAGATCTGGATGTGGTTCCCTCTTAACAATATCCGAATATTTTGCATTGTTCATTGAAGTTGAAGTGGTATACCATTAGCGAATTCTAAGCTAACAGAAATAACATACTCTTCACTATGGAGAGTTACGACTCACCAACTCAGCATAGTTGTATATTACGTCATAAACTATCCGTTTCTCTTAACCATTCTTACTAATTTCAAACAATGATCTTCATATTAACGCCCGACATTATGTAGACTATCTGTAAACCAATTAAACGGGTTATTTATTCGACATATAAAAGTAAAAACTTCTCAGCGTTATATGTCGATTCATATTTTATGAACATGTGAACAATTGTTTCAAACAAGATTATCAACCATCCGGAAAAGTTGAACTCAACAACTGTACCGGCTAACAACAAATGTTTTGGCCCGTTTCTCTTTAGAAAATGCATTCGTTCAGAGGTTTAGAATTATATATATAATTTGAAATTTCTGTTCTCTATACAGGTATAAATTAATAATTACAGGAAATCTTAATACAATGGTTGTTTGTTTTTGAAGAAAATGAATATTTATATCTTCCAATGTTTCATTTGTCTGGTTGATAAAATACATAACTTAAAGCTACAATTTTATTTAGTCCTCTGTTGTTTATTGTATGCTTGCGATTTGTTACCAGCTGGTATGTATCGATTTGAATACACTGATATTTAAATCACGTTTTTGTTACTTGGATCTTTACAAATTAGTTGTTCCTGTTTTTAAATTATCTCAATATATTCTCGATATGAAGGAGTTAATCTCTCATATTAAGTGCGTCAGTTAATAGTTACCATGTTTGTACATTCCATGAATATATGATCATGGACAAGTTGAACCAAAAAAGTAATAAATTGTAATCGAAAATAAAATGGATTAGTCTGTTTTCATATTCTTTACTTTCATATGGATAATTTTATTTCATTGAATATCTCAAAATTGTACACATTTAATAAATTTTAGTTTTATCATGTACACTAAATTCGTTGGCTTTCAATTTGCTAGCAACAACTTCTATCTGAAGTTTGTACTGATGATGTCGTTCAGAAGGACGATGAAAGCTCCACGACCAAATCATCCAGCTCAGACAACTTTTTACCCTAGATCATCTGTCATAGTTTAGCTAGTCATTTGGTATAATTTATAGCATCACATGAAAATCAACTGATTTGTTAAAGTTAATCTACCACTTATTCGCTAACTGCACTTTTGTTCCTTTTTTACCAAGAAATGATTATAGTAGACCAACTGAAGAAAATTAGATTTTAGGCATTTCCTTCACTATATGCTTATTCTCATCCCTAATTTTTAATATGATTTTATTACCCTATTGATTGATATAAGATAGAAAAAGCAGTTTCAGTTCATCTCGCTCCCGACTATGCTTGGTGGGCGGCCTATGCTCCTCTATAAGAGTTAAAAGGCGTAAGTAAGGCCATTTATTCGTTAGGCTCTCTTTCCAGCCATCTATCGAACAATCTTCATTTGTTATGACGTCTCTCTTTATGAAACACGTATTCTGTTCTTTTTTTCTCCATCAAGAATTATTCCATCTTATTGCATATTCATCGATACTGTTCGTTATTAAATTTACTTTGTTTCCTTCCAACGAAAAATTTTGGTCTTCAGACAGTACGGTCAGTTCCTATGGATGTTTTTTACCCTATGCCACAGAAATGACTTAAAATGATTATGTCCTTGGTAGATTATTTATCAAAGGCAAGATTTTTTGTATATTGTTATCGATATAAACTCTTGTTGTTTGATTGTGAAAGTGCAGTCGTGAATTTATCTGCCCCTTTTTGATATACTATCATGGAAAGCATTGTGCAGCTCAGAAGTTTGTGCCTTTGCTATTGATTATACTTTAAATGTGAGACCTTTCTTACTATTTCATTCCGAAAGATAACCATGTAATGCTCAAAATATAGTGTCATGTTGACATGTTTCGATAACACAATCTCGTCACTTTTTCATCTTCCTGAAATGCTCAACACATGTATTGCAAACTTGATTTCACTAATTCCTCTTTTCTTTACGTATCCTAACTTCAGTAAAAGCTAGGTAAAGAATTCATTCATTAGCTTGAATTCTTGCATATAATCGTTCAACTTCAACGTTTACCTGTTACTTTCATTCCTTGTAAGATAGAACATTACTTTGAAGTACATTATTTGGTTTTGACATATAATCCTAACTGTTACTTACACGTTGTTGTCTTTTTTAATAGCTGCTTTATTGAATGCTGAGACTAATAAATTACTTCAATTACAACAAGCTAAACTAATAGCTCAACACCAAGTTGGTTTGGTGGAACAACAATTACGTCAGCAACAGCAGCAACAACAACAACAGCAACAACTTCTAGCTGCTGCTGTGGCTGCCAACAGTTTAATGCGAAATCCCACAGTAAATGGTCATACTCTATCAAATGGATCATATCTTCAAGGTTTCGGTACGTATGGTCGTACATCACGACCTGGTTCGACCATCCCACCTTCTATGCAGTCATATTTATCCCCAGGAAACTTATTAGCTGTTCAGCAGCAACAGCAATTAGAAGCAAATCAATTATTATTATTAAACGATGCAAATGTACAAATGTCGACATTGAATTTTACCGGCTCTCCATCTGTGAATCTATTGAATTCAGAATTAAATGACGCAGCCAGTATAAGCAAATCATCCGCAGACTGTGGTGGAGGAGGTGGAGGATCAGGTTCAGTGGTTTATGAAAACTCCTACAGCTCATTCAATAAGTAAGCTTCGTACTATTAATTTCTTTTTTTATTTCGAAGTATTCTTATTTATTTTAGTATATATTTGCTATAAGAACTACTAATGCTTATCTACATTCCCTGTTACACTCTCTAGGAATCGAATAATGTTAACTTACACATGCGCACTCACAATTCATTCATTTATCTTCACAGTGTGAACTTTTCACATGATTCACATATAACTGACTCATGTTATCCTACTTACTAAAGTCAACATCAGAATATGATTGGATAAGCACAGAATACATTTGGTTTGATAGTTAAGCACTATATGTTTCTCTGATAATTTTGATTTTGATTATAATCCTGAAGAAGTCCAGATAAGTTTTTTGGACAAAACGTAATTACTTAAATTTCAGCCGCCGAGATTATTTCAAACATAATCACACATAATGTCTTCTCTATAATCGGCGTTCAATTTCTGTCAAACTATTTGTTCTAATATTGATGAATATTCGTATAATGTTCCTTTTATTTGTTTAATAGTAAATATTGTTATTTCTCTCAAAACATTCTCAATGCATCATGAAGTTTCATTCATAAGGATGAGATATATTTTGTTGTTTTATTGTGAAACACCTTGTGGTTAGGAGGGCTTGTTTTCCAGCCATTAGGTCCTGGGTCCGAATCCCACTCTACCTACGTCTGTTTGAACAGTCGAATAGTGTCATTGCTCCATGTACGTATTGTAGCCCATATCCAAGTTCTAGTGAATGAGTCAATTTATTTTTATATTTTACGTCTTGATAGAACTCATAGGCTCGATAATAAAACTCTACTGTCATAAAAGCCACTGTCGGAGCTTACTGCAAATCTTTTTGCCTTGGAAGAATTCCATTATTACCAAATCTATATATTTTTGTTAGTTACATCAGCTGAATAAAATATGCACTCTGAAAACTGCTCGTTCTATCCCAATTTTAAGCTTCATCAGGTTTTCTTCTGATCAGCTCAAAATCTCAATAAAATGTAAGACTCAAAGATTACTTAAAAACTTTATCCTTAATTGTTAGATATTACCAATCCTATGTGGTAATTCATTTTCTCATTATGACATTTTAGTTCTTTATTTGATTATGGGTACTATTAAACACGTTCATATCAAAACAATAAATATGTGGACAACCTGGAAGCACTAAACGGCCTTTCACCTTAGCATGGGACTCCTCAGCTGTGCTCCGTCCAGTGCTTCCAAGTTTTCAATGGTTGTCTAATTTACATCGGATCATCATTTCAATAAAATTCAATCATCTCCACAACCTTACACTCAAAATTCTTCACATTATCTAATCTTGAAGACCCTGTCTATGTTTAATTACACGTAATACAGTTTTTGTCCCTTTATAGATTTAGTTATTGATCCATAGGATGCAAATTAACAATTCGTCGTGCATTTATGTTTTAAACTGTGAATCACATCTGTTGTCTAATATCCAATTACACTTTCCGATTACTCATCCCCAATTGGAATAGGTTTCAATCCACTGCGTTGTGGATTAGGGTTGATCGCCTTCATTGCTGAGACACATTTTGCAGTATTGTTGTATTTCCAGTTAAATTAATTAGACTCGGAGCACTTGACACCTTTTCAGTACCTACCCCTAGGTTGTATTATTAATCTTTTATTGGATCAAAAATGTTGTTTTCTAACTATTTGTTTTACTTCATTTTCGATGAGGAATAGAAATCCCTTCAGGGTAATTCATTATAAAGATCTCCAGTGGTCAATAGCAAGACACCGGTTATATTTATTTATCTGTATTTCCTATAAAATGAACTATCTCTATTTTATATTGGTCTGATTCTATCAAAACTGTATACTGTGGTTAGGTAAACATGGAGAAAGGTTCTTGATATGAAAAATAAATCCTAATAATGACCCATCAATCCTCTCATTATGTATTGTAAATTACCAGTATCACCTACCCAAGAAAGTAATAATGGTAGATTTATATTTATCTGTAGAAAAGGTAACTGATTTAACTATATTTAAATTTTATCTGTTAATATTGTTTTTTTTAATTCTCAATGTGGTATACGACTAAGTCAATAAAATAAGTGAGCTTTGCTGAAACATTTTTTGTATTTCAAACTAATAAGTTATAATGTTGTACATCAGCGATAAGTAGCATAAGTTTAACTGAATTAAATACTGGTTCTTCACGAAAACAGTTATCTAATGCTAATCTAACTGAAGGAAATTTCAACTTAGTGAATAAGTTATCTTTTCTTAAATACTACTGAGATACATACATTACTAAGCTTATTCTGAGTAAAGTTATCAATTTATTATTTTCTTTTTATGGTCCCAGTGTCAGAGTATAATCACTTAGCGACATAATGATAACTTACAATTAAACAAAAAGAAATAACTTAATCCGGTTATTAAAATGTGGCACAGAATTTTTAAAAAAATCAAAATCTTATTTAAATGTACTGTTGTACATTTTTAAACCGATATCTCACTGATATATTAGTCATTAATTTCGGTGAGACTTCATATGAGAAATGACTTAACATTGAATATGAATAGCCAACAAATTTTAATCGCTCCATTTCTATATATACTTATTTATAGTTTTGTTAGATCAGCCCTGATCAGCCTTTAGTATTGTTTTTATTCTAATTCTACCGATCATATGTAGCAAAATAATTGAATTGCGAATTGTATTATTAACCTTAATTTGTTCATATTTCATATGAATAATGCTGAACACTATAATTAAACATTTACTCGTTGTGTCATTTTTAATGAGGCTGTAATATCAAAATTGTTCAATGACAAACATTGATGATAATATTAATGATGGTAATAATGGCTAAACTGTTGGCAGTAATGACCGTATTATGTATTGGTATATGATTGTTAGCTATCATTGTTTTCATATATATATTGATTAGTCTTGTCACGATAATTATCTATGTTTTATGCTGAACGTATAAACTAGGTTACCAACATTATTTTTATGACATTCCTGACAGTTACATAATCATATATTCAATCACTAATAATAACTAATCGAGAAGTCAGTGACAGTTGGTAGGTACCGAGAAATTTAGTTTTAAAAAGTGCCCTGAGGTGAATATCCTTCCCTCAGGCTGAGACTAAAGCCAGAGGTTTCTTGCGTATCTACCCATAAATACAATCAGCATATTAACATTTTTAATTATCTTAGCCATCTGCCACACTTTAAATTTAACATGAATATTCATAAAAAATAAATACTACTAAATACAAAATCATATTAGATACGTCAGGTAATGTAGGCACAAATTATATTTCTCGTGTTGTTGTATTGCCGTAAATTCATATGCACAATTCTACATAGTATATTCCGGCAATCACTTTCAACTATCTTTGTCGTTAAGTGGAATTGGAGAGTAGTGAGACTAAGGTCAGTAATTAGCTGGTAGAAGCAAACGTTACGGTAATAAAGATGATGATTTATGCGACAATTGTAAGCGAAACAAATTGAAAAGATAATAGCAATTACATACATATGAATATATCTTGAAAATAATAGTTACAGAATTCATGCCAGTTTACATGTATGATTAGTTTGATAGAGATAGTAGAGGACAGATATGTGATATTAGTTTTTTGAAGTGTCCTCGTTCAAAAATTGATTATTTAAGGTTGTCAGGCACGGTATTAGTGTAAAGTAAAAGTATGTAGTTAGGTGTACTTAGTGGGTTCAGTAATAAAAACGATTAAACGTTCAAAGTTCCTATAATCTCACTTGAGGAATAAGATATATTTACAGGTGTTATTTATTTATTTATTTGAACACATAGATATTAGTACAAGGAGGCACAAAATACATATGCGCCACACAAATCTCATTTGATTTGTGTGAGTGCTGTGATACTGCCCGGGTGCCCGAAGAGAAGCACGTGGTTTTCTGGGGGGGGCCACTCCCCAAGCCTTCGACCTGAAGGTCTGGTCCACAAGACAGTGGAGCAACGTAAAGACATGCAGTCCCATGGTAGCCGGTGACCAACGATTGGTTCCTAGGCCGTTTGTTCCTTCAGGATACTGGAGCCCATATGCACCATTGGTTCGGAATCAGGGTTTTCCAACTTCCCTAGGTATACTCTCCTTGTCCACCAACCCGGTTAATGTGCCGGACATTCGTTTTTCGTCCTCTCAATTTCGTAAACATCACCCCCGCCACGAGAAGGCAGTGAGTAGGACTTCCCTGGCTAGGATATATTGACATAGTCATGTGAGAGCATTTGGAGAGGGAGAGCGGACTCTTCCCATTCTCGGCCGTACCAAGGCATTCGGGGGCATTTAAAGGTGTAAGAACAGTAAAGTCATTTTCAGAGGAGACGTAAGCATCGATACAGCAAACAAGGGATCACAGTGATTTCATCTTACGGATAGATTGAGGTAAATAATTCCAGAGTCTGGAATATTTACTTGTAAAGTAATTCATATAGAGATTTATAATGTATGATTTGATTCAGTGTATGACATGATTTGTTATATTTGAATACTTAATAGCTAAACCATCTGTGATATAGCTACCATTGTTTGACTATTATCTGTATGTCTGTATGATGGTCGAAGCTGTGAAGAGAATTGTATTACAGTAGATTGACGACTAATACTCAAAACTATTAAATAATTATTGAAATGATATTGAGTTATTCTTACTAGCCAGTTAAATTTCGTAAGCCGTTACTTTCATAGAATTCATTTCTGGTCCCATTAAATCTTCCGACAATTATCTGTTGGGTTGTTTACCAATTTAATTATCTGGTTGTTTGATAAACTACTCCACTCAATTTATATATTGTAGTTGTTATCAACTTTATTTAAATCATATCTGGTTAGAAAGACGATGAAAATATCACTCTGTTGTGATATTTTATAACCTGTTTCACCTACTTATCGTTAGTGTTTTTCCAATAGTCTGAATCATATATATATCTTCGTTGCTAAATACTATAACTTTCTGCTTTCACTCTTGTCT